AGTTATCAGGTTTTAAATTACTGCCTCAATTTCTTTGCCAATTATGGAAATTTTCAGAGTTTTTATGTCCTCTTGGTTCAGTTTTTAAAATTTTTATCTTCTTAGTACATTTGCAGTATGGGAGGTTCACATTGGCCTTGGGGAGTTGGTGCGTGTACACAGCACAGCTTGATTGTGATTTGTTCCCCTTCCCGCCCACCTCCCTCCCTCTGCCTCTAGAACCCCTTTCCCCACTTTTAGTACTGTCAGGGTTGGCATTTTCTTTCATTTTTACAACATTTAACGTTGACATTCACTGTACATGACGACATCTTAAATCTTTCTACTTCCCCTTCCACCGCGCCTGGTCCTCTGTCTGCTGAACTCCTGTCATCCCTGTTTTTTCCAGCAAAACTTCATTTTCTCTTCATTTACACTTTGCCTTACCCAGGTGAAAGATTTACATGGTATCTGAGATCTGATTTGTTTCACTTAACATTATATTTTCCAGGTGTTCAAGTTCATTCAAATGTACCTAGAAATCCCTCCATTTCTTTAAGATACCCCAATTTGCTGTAGTACAGATTCTCATAATTTTAATGATCTTCTGGATTTTGTGGTGGCCATTGCAATTTCTCCTTTTTCAGTTCCTTCTTTTCTTTCCTTCTTGTGAAACTTCAGCTGAAGTTTTTCTACTTTTGTTTTTTTTTCCAAAGTAGCAGCTTTTCAATTCACTGGTTCTTTGTGTTAGTTTTTAGTCTTGGCTTCATTAATTTCAGCTCTGACCTTTATGATTTCCTTCTTTATTTGGATTTGGACTGTTCTTGTTCTTCTAGGATCGCAAGGTCCATCATTAGTTTATTTATTTGAGCTCACTCTGTTTATCTAATTGAAGAATTCTCAGCAGTACACTTCCCTGTTAAGATTGCTTTTATCGTACCCCATAGGTTTTGGTGTGTGGTACTGGCGCTATTGTCTTACTAGCGTAAGACACAGGCATAGGCAAGAACTTTCAAACGGAAACCCAATGGCACAAAAAATAACATCAAGAATCAGCAAATGGGATTATATCAAATTTAAAAAGCTTCTGCAACTGGATGTTGTGGCATACACCTATAATCCCAGCTCTCAGAAACCCGAGGCAGGAGGAATGCTGTTTGAGGCCAGGCTGGGCTACATAGTGAGTTCAAGGCCAGTTTGAACAACATAATGAGACCCTGTCTAAAAAAAAAAGTCTGGCCTCCCCCACTGCAGCTGCCAGGATCCAGGCAGAAAGCAGTGTGGGAAGACACAGAGACCAGAGGGACATCAGCCACACAGTGAAGTCCTCAGCCAGGATGAACAGGATGGACAGACAGAACTGGTGACATGAAACTGTCAGAAGCAAC